CTGGTCCTAATTTTTGGCATCTCTTAGTTATAATATCATATCATCTGCAAATAGGGATAATTTGATCTCTTCTTTTCCAGTTATTACTCCTTAAATTTCCCTTCTTTTGTCTTATTGCCCTTGCAAGAGTTTCAAACACTATGTTAAAAAGGAGTGGAGATAGTGGACATCCTAGCCTGGTTCCTGATTTTAATGGGAATGCTTCCAGTTTTTCTCCATTTAGAATGGCTGTGGGTTGTTGTATGTGGCTTTAATTATGTTGAGGTATGTTCCCTCCAGTCCAGTTCCCTCTAGGACTTTGAAAATATATGCATGCTGAATCTTGTCAAAAGCCTTTTCTGCATCTATTGAGATGACCATGTGATTCTTTCAGTCCATTTTTATGATTTATGATGTTTATTGACTTATGTATATTGAACCATCCCTGCATCTCTGGAATGAAGCCGACTTGATCATGGTGGATGATCTTTTTAATATGTGTCTGTATGTGGTTTGCAAGGTTTTTTTATTATTATTTTTAGTTTATGTGTATGAGTATGTTGCCTGCATGTAGGTAATTGTACCCATGTCATGTAACGCCAGCAAAGACAGAAGAGGCCACCAGATACCCTGGAACTGGAGTTATGGACAGTTGTTAGCTGCCAGCTGAGTGCTGGGATTTGAACCCAGGTCTTCTGCAAGAACAACCAGTGACTGCTGAGCCATCTCCCCAGCCCCAGTTTGCAAATATTTTGTTGAGGATTTTTGCATCTGTGTCATTAAGGATATGGTCCATAATTTTCTTTTTTGGTTCTATCTTTAACTGGCTTTGGTAATAAAGTGATGCTGGCTTCATAGAATTTGGAAGCTCTCCCTCTAAATTTTCACCTTCCCGCTCTCTGACCCGCCCTCACTCTTCAGGGTCTCTTGCTCAGGGTGCTACCTGAAAAACCATGTAACATATTTTTATCTGAATTTTTCATTTTATATCTTGGGTAGGGAGGTAGGAAATGGAAAAGCTTACAAAGAAATGAACACCCGACACTCGGCACCCAGCTCTGCGTCGCTCAGCAGATGGTTTCCACGCCATGCCATAGTCACTGCTAGCTTTCGCCCATGCCTCGTGGGCCCGCAGTCTTGCCCCAGGTCAGTAAATACCCCCCCTCAGTCCATGATGAGATGAGATGCCAAGGCCATCTTTTTTTCCACACCCACCGCCATCTTTCTCTCCATGCCCTAGCAAGAGCCATTGGCTGCTTCTGTCCCAAGATAGCGCCCAGAAGCCCCTCCCTCGGTGGCTAACTCTCTGCAGTCAATTCTCTGCAGCAGGCCCCGCCCTTTGGAGGAACCAGGCCCCTGGGACATGCTCTCCCTCCATTTCTATCTTTTTGAATAAATTAAGTAGCATTGGATGTAATCTTCTTTAAATGTCTGGTAGAATCTTGCTCTAAATCCATCGGGTCCTGGGCTTTTTTTAGCCAGGAGGTTTTGTATTACTGTTTCAATGTCCTTATGTGTTATGGGTCTATTTAAGCTATTGATCTCTTCTTGGTTTAGTTTTGGTGGTTCCCATGTTTTTAGATACCCATCCATTTCTTTTAAGTTTTCAGTAGTGTATAGGTTTATATAGTATCCCTTATAATGTTCTGGATCTTTTTGATGTCTTTTGTGATGTTTCCCCTTTCATCTCTGATTTTGTTGATTCTGAGATTCTCTTTCTTTCTTTAGGTTAACTGGGCTAGTGGTCTGTCAATCTTGTTTATCTTTTCAAAGAACCAGCTCTTGGATTCATTGATTCTTTGTATTGTTTTATTTGTTTCAATTTCATTAACTTCTGCTCTGATTTTTTTTATTTCTTCTTGTCTGCTGCTGGGTTTGGGTTTCATTTGCTGTTGCTTTTCAAGTGTCTTGAGTTGCAATGTTAAGTCATTTATTTGTGTTCTTTCTGATTTTTTAATCAGAAAGCTATAGCACTATAAACATCCCTCCAAGGATTGCTTTTAACATGTCCCAGAGGTTTTATGTTGTATTGTCTTTTTCATTTAGTTCCAGGAATACTTTTATTTATTTCTTCATTTATCCTTTGACTCACTCATCATTCAGGAGTGTGTTGTTTAATCTCCATGTGTTCATTTAGTTACTAGTGTTTCTTCTGGTGTTGATTTTAACCTTTATTGCATTGTGGTCTGATAGAATGCATGGAATTATTTCAATCGTTTTGTATTTGCTGAGGTTTGTTTCGTGCCCCAGTACATGGCCAATTTTGGAGAAAGTTCCTTGGGGTAGTGAGTAGAAAGTGTATTCTTTGGTGCTTGGGTGGAATATTTGGTAGATGCCTGTTAGGCCCATTTGATGTATGGTATTGTTTAATTCAGATGTCTCTCTGTTAGTTCTCTGTCCTGTTGACATATCTAATGGAGACAATGGGGTATTGAAGTCCCCAACTATTAATGAGTTGAAATTAATCTGGGTCTTAATGTCCTGTAGTACTGTTTTTATGAAGTTGGGTGCACCAGAGTTTGGTGAATATACGTTCATGATTGTAATATCTTCTTGGTCAATTGTTCCTTTGATCAAAATGAAGTGGTCCTCTTTGTCTCTTCTGATTAGTTTTAGTTAAAAGTCTATTTTGTCAGATATTAGAGTTGCAACACCTCCTTTTTCTTAGTACCATTCATTTGGTATATTTTTTCCCATCCTTTCACCTTAAGGTACTGCCTGTCCTTGAAAGTGAGATGAGTTTCTTGCAGACAACAAAAGGATGGGTTTTGTTTCTTAATCCATTCAACGGGTCTGTGTCTTTTGACTGGGGAGTTCAGTCCATTGATATTTAAAGCTGTTAATGAAAGATACGTATCGATACCTATCGTTTTTATTTCTGTTCACATTCTTGGTGTAGCTGTGCATTTCCATAGTTATAGCTTCATTAAGTTTCTTTCTGCAACCCTTTGGGTATAAGCCATTCCTTTCTTTAGCTCTTTGTATTGCTTCAAGAACTCTCTGAAAGGCTGGTTTTGTGGACATGAATTCCTTCAGCCTATTTATGTCATGGAAGATTTTTCTTCCCCCTGTGACTATAATAGACATTTTGGCTCGGTATAGTAATCTGGGTTGGCATCTGTGGTCATTTAGACTAGGGAATTCTTTCGTCCAGGCTATTCTGGCTTTCATAGTTTGTGCTGAAAAGTGAGCTGTAATTCTGATGGGTTTTCCTTTATATGTCACTTGTTTTTCTTTTGCAGCTTTCAATATTGTCTCTTTGTTCTGTATGTTTAGTGTTTTTAGTATGATGTTCCATGGAGAGTTTCTTTTCTGGTCTTTTCTATTTGGTGTTCTATAAGCTTCTTGTATTTGCATGGACACATCTTTAATTTGGGGAAAATTTCTTCTACAATCGCTGTTGAAGATCTGGTCCATACCATTATCTTGAGATTCTTCTCCTTCTTGTATGCCTATGATTCATAAGTTTGGTCTTTTTATGGTGTCACATAATTCCTGCATATTCCATTCTTGTGTTTTCTTAAATTTTTCATAATCTTTGCTTGAGCGGTCTAATTCATCCACTTTATCTTCCAATCTTGATATTCTGTTTTCCATTTCATTCATCCTATTGGTGAGGCTTTTTCCAGTTGTTTCTAATTGGCTTACTGAGAGTTTCAGTTCCTTCTTCACTTCAGCCTAAGCATTCTTTAATAGTTCTCTTTTCTGAATTCATTCAGAAGTTTATCCCTATCTTCTTTCAGTTCTTGAATTTCTTTGTCTGTTCTTTAAATTCACTAAATTCTTTTATCATGTTTATAATTGTTCTTTTGAGTTCCATGTCCTGTATTATCTCTAGAGGGTTCTCATTGTACTCCTCTAGAGGACTGATGGTACTTGGTGGGGTTGTACTATTTTGATTTTTCATGTTATTACTTTTCTCTGTGACTTTGGCATGTGGATTTCTTTTGTAGATTCTGGCTCTTCTATGAGACTCAAGCTTTCCTTTGTTGAGTTTAGTTCTGCTTATTTTTGTAAACTTTATGTGCCTTTGTAGTTTACTTGTTGGACATAAAAAGCTGGTTGGTCTAGGCTTCAGGCTGTCCCTTTTGAGTTTATATTGGAGTGGCCAAATTGGTTTTGTCTTGCTGCTCAGTACTTCCCACAGAGGCCCAAGTTAGATGAGGATCAGCCACTTTCAGGCTTTCTCCTAAGGTCTGGTGGGAGTGCCCACAGAGGCCCAAATTGGATGAAGATCAGATGCTATCAGGCTTTCTCCTAAGGTCTGGATCCCTCCAGGAAAGATGCTGGCCTCAGGAATTTGAGGGCTGGGCTGGCCTTGGAGCAGGGCCCAGGAAAGATGCTGGCCCCCAGGGATGCAAAGGGAGGTAGGGACAAGAAGAGGCCCCAGGGCTCCTAGGGAGTACAGGGAGGAATTGGGTTGGTCTGGATGCAAAGGATCAGGAAACAGTGGGGATTCTGGGCTAAGAGGTCAGTCCACAGGTCTGGGGTGTCACAAGAGATAGGCCAATGTCTCTGCTAGAAGGAGAGATGAGGTGGGGGAGCTGGGAGGGTGAATGAGGCTAGGGGAGCCAAAGGGCAGTGAGTGCAGCCAAACTTACCTAAGCAAGCTGCTAGCTCCAGGAAGCTGTGGGGTTGGGCCACCCAGAGATGCAAAGGGAGGTGTGGACTAGAGGGAGGAATTGGTTTGGTCTGGATACAAAGGATCAGGAAGCAGAGGAGAGTTTTGGCCAAGAGGTCAGTCCAGAGGTCTGGGGTGCCAAGAGAGGAAATGTGCCAGTCCCCCTGCTAGGAGGAGAGATGGGGTGCGGGAGCTGGGAGGGTGAATGAGGCTGGCGGAGTCAAGGCACAGTGGGCACAGCAGCCAAACTTACCCTGGCAAGCTGCTGGCTCCCCCATGTCTTATTTTAAAATTTCTGGGCATCTAGCACAATCTCTTGCTTGACATCAGTCTTCAAAAAAATATTTGAAGCTTGAGCTGCTGATGCCCCCGAGCTGCTTGTTCTCCTTTGTTCTTTTAGAAAGAAGAAGAAATCGAGATGGCTGTAATCTACCTGCAGAAGTTACTCCGGGGCAAAGCCGTGCAGAATATGGTGAGTAGGTCCAACTGCCAAACCTCTGTTTCTCCTTTTTTATTTTATTTTATATTTTTTATGTGTATGAGTGTATTGTCTGCATGTATGCAAGTGTGCCCCTGTGTTGCGTAGATCAGAAGATGGTGACAGAGCCCCTGGAACTGTTGGTAGACAGTTGTTAGCTGCCATGTGGATGGTGTAATGTGAACCTGGGTCCTCTTAAAGAACAGCCAGTGTTCTTAACCACTGAGCCATCTCTCCAGCCCCCTTGTTATTAAGTGTTCTTAACCACTGAGCCATCTCTCCAGCCCCCTTGTTTCTCCTTTGAGAGTAAATAATTTCAAACACACCTTTGCTTGGTGTGCTCCCTCCAGCACCTGTGTCTCCTGTTTGGCTGTCCTCTAGAATTTCTCCCTTTCCCTTCTACTATGTCATTTGTCCAGATGGGCCACACAGGTTCAAGAAAGAGGAACCACTTGCTTGCTAGTGCCACAGCTGTAACTCTAGTGGTGTGAACACATCCTTAGAATTGCTAACTCCAGACGTTTGCTCATCTGAATTTGGCTGTTACAGCATTATAAACCAAGAGGAAGTCCCTAATTTTCCACTAAGTCATAACAGAATTATTTGAGTTTACGTACAGCCAGCAATATTTGTATGTACAGTACAGCATTATAAATGGAGTAGCTGACAGCACTAACTATAGTTTTGAACCCCCCACTATCTGCCCACATTTTACTCTGTGTTCCACATGCATCCTCTCATTTTTTTTCCTACCAGGAATCTCATAGACAAAGAATTTGAGTGTAAGGGAGGTTTAGTTAACTAGCAAATCCAGTGCTGGACCTGACTGTAAGCTTGGCTGGGTTGTTGGTTTCTGCTGCTGCAGAGACACACCTCACCTAAAAATGGACTAATGCAAAGCCCTCTTTCGTGGTTTCTCTCCAGAAAGCTGTAGTTCTTCAGATACTCAGTTGTGCTGAGTAAGTCCGGGGCAGTTGGCCGGCACCTGCACTCAGCGCTCTTCCCTCTTCTCTCTGTAGCCTGTCCCTTCAGGGAGCAGATTGTGTGCTACAAGCCAGCGGTGTATTCATTGGAAAGAATAGTGTCAGCCCAGGTTTTGTTTTGTTTTGTTTTTGTTTGTTTTTGTCTTTTTGAGACAGGTTTTCCCTGTAGTCCCAGATGACCTGAACTCACTATGTAGACCAAGCTGGCGTTGAACGCACAGAGATCTGCCTGCCTCTGCCTCCCGAGTGCTGGGACTAAAGGCGTGTGCCACCACGCCTGGCTCAGCCCAGGTTATTTTAGAGGCGCACAGGAACTGAGTGGATGGTGCTATTTTCTTAGTATGACCCTGTAGCCATTATCTTGTTGGTGAGGGACGGAGCAAACCGAGCCTCTTCTGGGCCTGCACCAGTGAGGGAGCAGCACCGAGGGCTGGATTATGCAGCTCTGTGAAATAGCCTGGGTGAGTCCCAAAGGCAGGACTGAACCCACTGCTCACTGATGAACCCAGATTACTTCATGCCCCGTGGTAGTCTTGGCACAAGGTAACAGGCAAGTCTCTTCTTGATTTGGTATAGATGTTTGAAGGCAAAGAAAAGCGGCTGGAGTTGATCCAGGCGTTGCGCACCACCCACGCCCTGCAAGAGGACGAAAAGCTACTGAAGAGAGCAGAGAGGAAAGAGACCCTGGCTGTGCGACGACAGAGGGACCTGCATGAGCACAAGGTTCTGCCTTTCCAGCCTGGCTCCTCCTTGTATCCTTGCATTATAAAAGCAAAAGATGAAAAGATTTTTAAAATTCCTCCAGGACCCCAGAACACTTACCAGCATTCTGCTGCAGTCCATAATTTGAATAGGGATGTGCCCTAACCGAATGGAACACGGTGTCTTTATTTATTTGTTTTGTTTTGTTGAGACAGGGTCTCCCTGTAGCCCCAGCTGACCTGGAACTCATTCTGTTGAGATAGATGCCTGGCTGTGTCTTTTATTGGGGGGGGGTGATAAAAAAATCCCCCAAATAAAACAAAAACAAAAAGAGAGACAAAAACAAAACAGAGACAAAAACAAAAGAGACAAAAACAAAAAAAGAGACAAATGAATTTTTCAACTTTTAAAGATGTTTTCCTTTTTGATTTTTCTTAAATGTTTAATAACTACTGTATTCCAGTTTGCTGGGACTTAGCAGAATTAATAAGCATTTTTTTTTTTTAAAAAGCAACAAGTTCTGGGCAAGGTGGTGAGTTCAAGGGCCAGCCTGGTCTATATAGTGAGTTCCAGGCCAGCTGGGACTACAGGGAGACCCTGTCTCAAAAAGACCAAAAAAAACCAAAAAATTAGCTCTTATTTCAGAATTTTGAAGCCACATGTTGCTAGCTTTTACTGGCTAATGCCCAATAAATACGCTACTCTCTCCTGCTCTTTGGTGCCCTCAGGCCCTGGTCAGGCCCTCCCACTCTGCCACCTGACATGGCTGAGGACTGGGGCTCTAAACTAACAACAGATACCCTTTCTCCTGTTCTTTCCCAGTGTTCATCTCTCTTTCCACACTCCTTAGTGCTGTTGAGGACAGAGCCATCACATCCAGTTCCCAGAAGTCTATAAACTGATCTGAAAAAGAGTTTGAAGAGTTAGGATTAAGAAAGTAACACCTTGCAAAGTTAATTTGATCATCTTTATATATATATATATATATTATTGTTATTTTATGTGTATGATTGTGTTGCCTGCATGTGTGAAAGTGCACCCATGTCATGCAATGCCCAAGGAAATCAGAAGACAGCATCCCCTAGAACTGGAGCTACAAATGGTTAACCACCATGTGGGTGCTGGGAATCAAACCGGGGTCCTCTGCAAGAGCAATCAGTACTCTTAACTGCTGAGCCACCTTTCGAGCTCCAATTTTTGATCATCTTTTAATAATACCCCCAATTCCTGTGCTATATGAGAACTGAGAACAACGACAAGCGACTTGGAAATGACCACAGCTTTATTTCTTTTACATGAGAGCAAAGCTATAGATGGTCAGTGAGCTGGAAGGTGTAGGTGTGAGGGTAGGGGTGGAGCAATAAGAAAGCCACCAGCTGTGCCACCTAAAAATAAGATTAGAGAAAATGAGGAGAATGTGAATGGACATGGAGATTCTGCATCTGGTTATCCAAGAGTCCTGGAGACATTCAGTTAGAGTGGAGAGCCATGAAGCAGTAGGTCCTGAGATGGGATGGAAAGATGCCCTCCTTGGCCCTTTGAGGGGCCTGATAATAGACTTTGATATATGCAGCTAAGCCAACCTCACAGCTAAGGATATTCACACAGCTAAGTGAGAAGGGATGGTTTAGTGGGGAAATGGTTATTCTCCTGTGGACTGCCCACCTTCAGCTGTACCCAGGCAACAAAGCCAGGCAGGGGTCTGAAAGAAGATACACTCTAAACCCAAAACAATGTTGATCTCCTCTCTTCACCTGCCATTTCTGTAGAGAACTGTCAAGAAAACACATGGCTCCCAGTTTTGTGATGCGTTAATGATAGGACTGCAGTAGAATCCCTTTCCTAAGTACTTCTCCTTTCAAATTGCACTGCCCTTCCTGAGAAATCCTAGCTCAATTTCTTGGAAAGAAAACATGTTAGACATGAACAGATAGCCATAGATCTTGGGCTTAGCATCTGCCTGTACCCTTGCAAGTGAGAGAGTTTATGGTCCATGAAACCAGAGAGGGAGTCTATCTGTCACCCCTGACTTGAGGATCTACTATGCATGAGAGTAGTGACATGCTCTCATTTCACTCTTTACTACTCCTTGTTTCAAAAGTAAAGTTGAACTTTGGGATTAGAAAGTATGTGTGGGCAAGGGTGAGGATGAGGGGGCTGTGCTAACAACTGCACTTGATAGACAGTCTCAGCTGGCAGCCTCATTGGCTTTGATAACTATGAGACTTCCTTCCCTGATTGAAACACAAACCAAGCAGCACGTGGTGGAAAGAAGGGTGCTTTTCTCTTATGCCCAAGGAGAAGGAATGGGACAGGATAAGTCATCTTAAACGTTTTTCTTCTTATGTCAAAGCCAAGGCACAGGGGATTCATAAACCAGTGGCTTATTCCTGACTGAGAATGCAACAGCTCCCTTATTTTACTTCAGTGATCACATAGAGACATCTAGGCTTCTTTCCTATACTATTTCAAAGATTATACTATTATACTATTTCGAGCTAATAGCTTTGAAGTTACTAGAAAGACTAAAAAGTACCAAGGTTTTTGACTTTCATGTTATCCAATATTTTAAAATTCCTCAAGCTCGTATGAAAAGATGAGACACTTTAAAACTTAAAAGTTACCATGAGTGAATTTCTGGGTGATTCTATTTTATTAAGCTCCAATATTATCTTTAATAAGAACCTTCTCACTTCCTCTCATGTTCAACTTTCTGCACAAAATTGAAAGAAAAATATATTGAGTCTGGTTGCTAAGATAAATGTTTTGCTAAGTTCTCTTCATAACTTGAGGGCTGTGATCCATCAGCGACTGACTGGGCAGTCTCACATCTAAGTTTGTGATAAGTTTTCCTGTAAGTCCTCAAGGGATGGCCCCAATTGGGGCATAGCATCCTGATAAAGATTGTTCCCACAGCAAGTTGGCTGCCATGCTGTACCATCCAATACTTAACCATTCTGAGGTGGAACTCTTATCCTGAAAGTTGTTACTGTTTTTAAGGTGTCACTGGTTGAAAACCATTTGGGTGACCTGGAAGGAAGGGCACTGGCAGACATGTTTGACTTCCTCTCCAAAGAGCTGGTGAGACTGCAGGAGGAGAGGAGGATCCACGCCTTTGCCATGCTGGCCGAGCGCCAGCGGCGCATGCGTGAAGCAGAAGAGAGTGGTCGCCGCCAGGTGGAGCTGAGACTCTTGCAGCAGGAGGACCAGATATTTAAGGAGGCAAGTGAGGGCAGCTGAGTGTATGAACACCATCCCCCATCCCTCCCGGAAAGCCAGGTTTAACCACAGACATCTCATACTATGATTTTTCTTGAAATCTGATGGACATTTCATGACATAAAATGGCATTTGTTTTTTATTTTCTTTAGCAAATACGCACTGAATTCCTACTGTATACTAGAAGGTACAGCGGTATCGTGAATACTTTGTAGGGGAAAATCAAGCACAGTCCTTTTTCTCCTAGAATTTAAATCACATAAATCATGTGCATAAGAATAAAATTAGAAAAGGCGACAGTTCCATGAAGGGAACAAATGGGGCACGCTCATCACGCCATCACGCATTTTAGAGAGGTTAAGCCTACAGACTGTGTGAAGAAGAGGTTGAGAGGAAAAACGGGGCGGGGGGAGTAGGGAAGGGAGGGAGGGAGTAG